AGAGAGAGAGAGAGACATTGACCCATTGCCTTCCATATGCACCCCAAATGGGGACTGAACCCATGACCTAGGTATGTGCACTGACCAGGGATCAAACCCACAACATTTTGGTGCATAGAATGATACTCTAGCCAATGGAGCCACCTGGCCAGGGCAACACAATAATACTAAAGATTATAAAAGACAAGTGACAATAACATCAGCTTTAAAGTCAGATGGATATGAGTCAAAACCCCAGCTGTCCCATATTAGCTGTCATCTTGAATAAATGACTTCATGCCTGCTTCCTCACTTGTAAAAGTGCGATAATAACAGTATGTACCTTAAAAATCATGGTGAAGAGGATAAGATGTGCATGGCAGGTTGCTTGAAAGATGGCTCCCAACCATTCCCACCTACGAGCACTTACATGTGTGTGGAGCTCCTTCCCCTTGAGTGGACACAGTGAGTTACCTCTAATGAATGCAACAGGCAAAGGTGACGGGATCACACTTCTATAACCAGGTTATACAAGACTGTGATTTCCTCTCACTAACCCTCTCTCACTCTTCTTGCAGACCTGTCCTCTCAAGAGGGCAATCTGGCGAGGAACTGAGGACATTCTCTGGACATAAGCCAGCGAGGCACTGAGACCCTCAGTACTACAGCCCTCGAGAAATGCCATGCCACCAATGACCACATGAGCGAGCTTGGACTGGGATCCTTCCCGAGTCCAGCCTTTGCCTAAGACTGCAGGCCTGGCTGATGCCTCGGCTTTGTCTTTGCGGGAAACTCTGAGACACAGAACGAGAAGTGCTGCTCAGAGATTTCTGACTTACAGAAGTGGTGAGAGAATGAATATTATTTTAAACTAAATTTGGGGGTAAGTTGTTATTTGGCAATAGAGAACTAAGCCAGCATGCAAGTGACCTGACATTGCATGACATGCAAAGATTTAGTGAATGTTGGTATGAAGCATATCTCCATCTTTATTCCATGCCAACAGCAGACCATCACTGATGAATCGCAAACATTTTTTTCCTGGTGAACCCAGAGGCAGGCTCAGAATCCTTCCTGACACAGAACTCCAGGAACTTATCAATTGCACAGATAAAACTTGTTTGCCAAATCGGATCTGTCAATACCTCTTGTTGCTTCACTGTTTCTCATGTGCAATATTCTTTTAATGGGAGACCAAGGCTTTCATCATGAGAGGTATGATGAAAAATTATTAGAACTAATCTGTAAAAGTATACAAAATATGAATGGCTGGCATCATGTGTAGTCCGAGTACTAGATTTTGCTTGAGGTGAGACAAAGGGTCTAAGAGTACCGGAACCCTTCAGAGAACAGAAGAGGCAGGCCCAGAAGGAGGGGCTGGGAGCACCAAAGCTCCCCTTACCCTCACTCTCATGTTTACTGTGGTGTGGCCTCATTGTAGGCCCGCCACTTTGAACAAATGAAGGAATAGAGGGAGAATTCCTTTGGAAATGATAAAATGCTCTAAGGAGTGAATGGTTGTTTTTAAATAGAGAAAATGTCCTGCAAACCAGCATGGAAGATTTTCTCTGGCCAACATGATAATACTGTAAGCTATGGAAATAACAATGTGTTTAGTTATTCTCTACTTCATGTGCGCTTCTTTTTGTTGGTTAAAGCAGGGGGATATTTTGGAAACAAGACCCAAGGGATTGTCCTTTAGGGGTGCGTGTGTGTGCGTGTGTGTGTGTGTGTGTACCAAATACCCAAGGGTCGTGCAAAAATGTGTATTATGACTCACTAGGTTCGGGCTTCTGCATTCCTAAGGAACTCCCTGGTGATGTGAATCAGCCAAATAGCAACCTTTCCTCTCCTTAGGGATGGTTTACGGATTTCTAGGGTCATTACTACTCTAAGTCCAGGAGCCAGTGGGATGGTCAGTCGGTGATGGGTGCAGGGAGTCTCTGTTCAGCGAGCTCTTTGGCGGACCACCAGAATGCGGACAGACTCCGTGAGGCAGGGAGCGTGGAAATGACCCTCACTGCCCTGGGAAGGATGATAGAATGTGAGAAAATTAGATAAAACCCTCCATGATAGAACAGGAGACATTTTTGGAAATAGAAAAGGCAAATTCATGTTTTATGGAAAGAGGAAAACAGTCTCATCTTTCCAGGGTGTTTTGGAGCAAATCATACTGGCACAACATTACAGAACGCATTCATTTTGCAACAGAATTCAATATGAAGTCACATCTCCAAGTTCATCCCTTCTGTGATTTGTCATAACCTCAGAGAATCTTATCTTGTTTAGAAAAAGAAGTTAAAGGTTAATCAAGTACTGGTCATTTAAAATAGTTTGACCCTAACGTCAGGGGGTCAAGTGAATTACATTCAAGATAACCTCTGCACTGACAGGGATGGATGGCCATTCACAATAACCCACTCCTAACAGAGTACTCCCTGAGACAGAAGAACTGGCTATGGCCCTAAAACAGTGGATGCATCTGGGGCCGTATGCCTCTCTGCTCCCACTGTTGCAGGCCAGACAGTACCATAGACACGAGTGGTACTGGATGAAAGGGTTAAAAGAAAACAGATTCTGTAGACATTTCACTCTTTAGGAACTTCCTTCCAAATCCCTTTCCATCATGCAGCATTTTCTATTATAATTCATCCACTTACCCAAAAAATACATTCATACAGTAATGTAACTACGTAGGGCATCCGCATCAGTGAACAACGGAAAGCCAGACCTGGTTCCTCCCAGAGGGAGTTTACAGTCTAGCACAGACAGACAGACAGACATTACTCCAGTGAACACAAAAATAAATGATTGCCTGTGGTAAGAGTAATTCTCCTTTTTTGGTCCATCCTTGTGCAGGATATAAAAGCGGCAACAGTGAAGTTCACGGTAGGTGCCCTTTGTCCCCATTTCCCTCCTCCCGTCACTTAACCTCTCCCTTCTGCAGAAGCTCAAGGCGTCACAGGCATATCCAGAGGCCACGGAAGGTGCTCTGGGAGCCCGAGGGCAGTGTCCAGATTCTAGTTCTTTGTGACACAGCCGGCTGACCTCTCACTGCCCCGGAGACCACCCTTCGAGGAACTTGGCTCAAGAGAGAACCTTATGTGTGGAGGCAAATCTTTGTGCACAAGGATGATTGGTATAATTTAAAGCAGTAAAAACAGAAGCTAGTAATGACATATTTTTCAATAGAGAATTGAGTAAATAAATGCCCATTCCTTCCTGACACATAATATTAATCGGTGGTAAAAAAAAAATGATGCATATACAAACACACACACACTGCAAATGCACAATATCTGTAATCTATTGCCGGGTTTACAAAGCAGGTGATAGAATAGCTTGTATCAAAAGGAATTCACTTCATGTAACATTGTATAAACGTGCGTTGTGTTTACACAATCTTTATGTCTACTGTACACATACAATATGTAAATATATTATATATATATATAAAATTAGTAATATAGCTCCAAAAGGATTTCTCTTATGCATCCACACATCATTATCCCGTGTCCCAGCCCTCATTGGGGCTAACCATAAACTCACATCGCGGTAAATGGAGATAGTCCACCTTAGCCAGGTGGCATATTTGTGCTGTAGCTGAGACCTTCAAGGCCCAAGTCAGGGACTGGTGTGGACACTTTAAGTAAATCAATGAGAGAGAGATTTGGGGCAAGAGAGTCTTTCCACACCTCTCCAATCACTTCCTATAAATATTCAAATATAAGGCCACAGGGAGCTCACAGGTGACTCTCAAAACTGAATGGAGACATCTGAGAAAATGTTCTTTTCCTCCTGCTGCACAAAGTAACTGCCAGTACCTGAATGACGGCAGTCAGCGCGCGATGAGTAATGAATCCGAGAGTCATTTGAATACAATGAGCTCCTACCGGTAATTTTCAGGCATCAACCCAAATGCATTAGCTTAAAAAAGCCTGAGTTTCAGCTTTTCTATTCTTTTGATTTCTCTTTAGACAGGTGGAAGGTTCTATTAAGCCGGCAGGATCTATAGAGTTGTGCACATCTCTGCAAGGATCCCGGGCAAATTAAAAAGTCAAATTAGCAATGCATATTTAACGCTGCTTTGTAGTTTGTTTTTTTAAAAGTTGGCAGCAATGTTTACTCTTTGAGGGGGAGTTTATAATTATGCAAATTGGAGAAACAGTCTGCTTATGGTTTATGGTAATGCCTTGGGTTTTATATCCAGAGTCAAATTATTTCTAAACATTTCTCCAATTTTATTCATGACTTGGCAGGAGGTGAACCAAGGCGAGGGGCCTGCTTTGCCTCGGGGGGCTCGGGATAGGAGGCCTCTTTCAGGACTGTTCATCCTTCCTTTCTCCTTTGTAACAAGACTTTAATTTTGTTCAGATATGCACTCTCCTCCCTGTGGCCCTGTGCCTCGGGGCATGTGGGTCCCACTCCCAGCCCGGGAAGGGACTAGTGATCAGCTCAGACCAATCTCGGCTGTTCCCATCTGCTTCACCTGGGACTGATCTCAGCAAGGGCATGTGCCAGAGTTCTGGCCAAAGACACAGCCCCTGAAGATGTCAGAACCCAGACTTTGGGGATGTTTTCGAGCTCTTCAACGAACCAACGATGGAGCTTTCCTAATTCAGAACTTATTGTTATGAGAACTAATGACTTTTGTTCTTCTTATTGAGGCCATCTTCAGTCTGTGTTTTCTGTTACTTGCAGCCGAGAACACATCTGAAGCAATCTGTACCTTGACAGCTCCTGTGTTGCTCTGAGGACCGAATGTATCTCTGTCTTTATCTCTATCCTCACCTATGTCTGCATCTACACCGACCTCCACCCCTCTGCCTCTCTCTCTGTGTGCAATACCCACAGGGAAGAATTCATTCATATACTTCGGCATCTGCTTTACCAACAAGGCCGGCTGATGTTTGTTTAAATGGAAGGGTAGAAAGAAGGAAGGGTAGTCTAATCTAGCTCATCTTGGTGCACCAGAGAGGAGTCCATCTCGTAACCGACGAGTAATAGAAAGAGCTACTCACTGTTCACACTGCTGCTTTCATCGACACGAGTGCCACCAGTTCCAACCTTCCTGTCCGAGCAAGCCTGCAAGACATCAGAGAGAAAATAAATACAAAATGCACCATCTCTTTTTGGCATCAGGCGGTAATCATGTATTTGGGCTTTTCCTCTTTGGCTGGACGGTTCCGGCTTTAAACAGACTCTACAGATCATCAGGCTGAGCATTTTTCCAGGCAGTTGTTTGAACAGGAACAACTTACGCCTACCCCAGGGAACCAGGTCTGCTGCTCGACCTGCTGCCCTCCGCAATGCACACCATGTTCCCAGAGACTCCAGCTAAGTGCCCGACGGCGCTAGGAATGCGTGCCGGCCCAGCCACTCGGTGCGTGTCATCTCCTCGGCCACTTCATCTGGTTCCGGAATGGGCTGAGGACGCGACTGGGGCCAAGGAAAGTCACTTTCCAGTTGTGTGAACCAATGCTCATACTCTTTTTGCTTAAGCCAGTTGGGTTTTCTGTCCCTTCTAACCCCAGATCCTCCCTGATATAGGGCTTTCTCATACTTTACAAAGTATGAGATGGAGACTCAAAGAAAGGTAAGGATGGGGAGGGAGGTCAAGGCTTTCATTCGAGGGCTCTTCCCACTGCAGTCTCTAGCCTATGCATTCAGTCATTCATTGCAGTAAAATAGAAACACTAGACATATGGACTTGAACTTTCTGCTTTGGAGAAAATGGAGAAGTCTTCCCCCAGGGCTACCAAGGGAGATGATAGATCATCTCTATCATTTTAGCAAAGTAAAGGTGGTTACATGCGTGTGCACTCATGCATCTCATGCATGTATTCACCCCGCCCCCCCAAACACACACACACGATAGAAGGCCACAGCAGGTGTTTGCATTTGCACAGAGAACCTTCTCCCTGAAGGATCTGTCCAGGCTGCAGCTGGACTCTGGGGGAAGCCCTCTCCCCGCCCACGGGACCGCTGCTCCAGGTCACGGTTGACCTCCGCTTCCTCAGTCTGTCTTCCTGACCCTGTCATCTCCACGCCGGCCCTGTCTGCTGGTCTGTGACTGAACTAATCACCAACATCTCTCCACCCAGCCGCTGCCTGGCCTGCACAGTGCCCGTCCGCCTGAAGTGAGTCACTGAGCAGAGGCCGCGAAGGGGAAGCCCACAGCCCGATCCTGCTCCTCTGTGTGCTTTGTTTGACTGACATTTAAAAAAAAAACCAAAACCCTGAGTTACACTGAAAAAATGTTACATAAAAACTTAGATTTCAAGCTTCACGTAGAACTAAGTGGAAAGGCCCGTCAACACTGTGTGCCCTTGCTCAGGGTGACGCGGGTCGAACCTGAATGGTGTCTGAGTCCTTTAGACACATTTGCTTCCGTGACCATAATCCCCGTCGGGTGTCCTGGACTCATTTCTGCCCTCTGCCTGGCTGCTGTGGGCAGACGCATTTCCAACCCCATCCTACCTTTCCTGCCACATGTGAGGGGCTGACCCAGGTGAGGCGCCCCCTCACCCTCCAGTGGCTGTGTCTGGAAGCATCCTGTCTCCAGCCAGGTTCCCACCCCAGCCCCCCCTCCCTTCAGAAAGAGAACCACAGGGCACCACTGAAGGATTTTATTTTAGGTTTCCTTACTCTTGCTTTATTTTCTAGACTGTCTAAAAAATAGGAGTCATTTATCTGAATTGGAAAAGAACTGTCTTATAAATGCTCTTGTGAGGAGAAAGCTCCCGGGCCCTGCAGGGGACGGGGACTTGAGAGAGGCTGTGCGGTGCAAGCGGCGAGGCACCGGACGAGAAGCCAGAAGAGCCTGCAACTTTGTGACCTTTTATAAGTGATTTCCTGCCCTCTGCCTCAGTTTCCCCATCAAGAGAGGAAGTTGAGCGACATCAGTAGTTCATAAACTGTTGGCTATGAGCCATAACCAGTCAACAGATAGTACTTTAAAAAATTTATTAGTTATATGCCAACAGCTAAAAAGAAGACTATTTCAGGCAAGAATTCAGGTTGCAGACCTGTCAGAACTACCTAGCAACGACGGGCAATGGCCCAGCATTACCCCATGGCAAAGGTGATGGCGTGGGGGTTGGGAGTTTACCCCAGTCCTCACCCGCTCCCTAGTGGATGCAAACATGCGTCCCAATCGCCTACTTTACCCATTTACATCCTTGCCTGCCCTCAGAAGCATTTTCTCTTGCCACCATGACAGAGGTGACCTCTAGGAGCCCATCAGCCTTAATTCTGTGACTGGAGTTGGAGGATCTGAGAGTCAGAGACGATTTGGAGAAGAGAAACATGTTCAGAGCAAAAAAGGCCATCCTGTGGCGTTCCAGTCCTCCCCGCCTGGCCCAGAGTTGACACAGCAAGCCGTCCCAGCCTTTGTGACGGTCCCACGACATGGTTAAATCTGCAAAGGCAACAGCCAGGTTTTGAAAGTAGCAGAAATATTCTTCCGTTGGGGTTGCTAGCTGATTCTCTAAGTAATTTGCAATTCAAGTGTCTCTTTGTTTTGTATGAAAATTTGCTGCTATTTGGAAAGTGGGGAAGAGCTAAATTGCATCCTGCTGGTTTTACTTCGACTGTATCAAAAAAGAAACTGTTAATCTGGTTCCATAATTAACTTTCCTGTTCTAAAAAGGCCCTGGGAGAGAGTCCAGAGAGTGACTGTCAACTCCCTGCTCCTCTTCTCAGTAAGTCCCTTTGACAGAAAGAAGAATGGGTCCAGGTGGGTGCTGGCCTTGATTTTCTCCTTTTCTGATTTTCCTTCCCTCTTATCCCCGTCCAAACAATACTAAGTGAGTCCTCACTGTGGGTCAGGCACTGGGCTGACCAGGGAGGGTAGAAGATAAACCAATTCCTGTGGAACTGCCAGAGAATATAAGTTAATTTTCCTTCCATCCATCCATCCATCCAAAGTATGTTAGGTTTCTATATTATAAGCCAGACACTGTGATAGGCATTTGTATGTGATAAATGAAAAACAATGAATTCAGCATCATCTAAGAATTCTAAAGTTGAAGAGAGAGATTCTTGTCTAGGCCTATGGTAGTTGGTTCCATGGAGAAATGTTGTTTAAGTTGATTTTGACTCCAGTCACACTTGTGTATGGTTACGAGTGTGTGCACACACCCATACGTGTGCATAAAGCGCTGGAGGGACAGGAAAACTGAAGCGAACAAGGGCGTGCAGGCTGGAAATGAACGTTGACCGCCAAGGGGAGACCACTTTGGCATGAGCAGGGCGCCTGGACTAACATTAACAGCGAACACTCATCGACTACTTGGACCTGTGCTAAGCACTTTTTATCTGTCATCTCCATGAAACCTCACAATGCCAAGCAGTAATGATTGGTTACATGGTACAAACAAGAAACACACTCAGGGAAGTTCTCAGGGAATTTCCCAGGAAACATGTGGGTAGGATAAAGGGCAGAGATGGAGCCTGGACTCGTGTGTGACTTTAGAAAATAAGTCTTTAAGCATGAGGCAGTACTGCCGTGTGGGAAAGTGACTAAAGAAGGACTTGGGTGCCCACCACTCACTCACTCACTTACTCAATCAATATGCACTTGTTCCTGGAAATGTGCGTTTGTTGGTGCTCTGTACAAAACACCCTTCGGAGAGCTGTGGGTACAGAAAACAGGGCAGACAAGGGGCTGTGCTACTTAGGACTTGGTGTACCCCAATATGGCACAAACCCCAAACAACAGTGGCTTAAACACCTAAAGTCTTGATTATTATTGTTGTTGTTGTTATTTTTGCTTTAAAGAAATCTGGAGTAGGCAGTCTAGGGTTTTCTACTAAGGAGGTTCTAGAGTCATCGGGAGAGAAGGCTGATTCCCACTTTTTGTTCTGCTGCTTCCTGGGTTAGCTTTCATTCTTCTGATCCAATGTGGCTACCAGAGCACCAGCCATCGCATCTGAATTTCAGGCAGCGGGATGGAGGGAGTGTGAAGGAAGACTATTTCTTTTTTTTTTTTTCAAAGATTTTATTTATTTATTTTTTAGAGAGGTAAGGGAGGGAGAAAGAGAGAGAGAGAGAAACATCAATGTGCGGTTGCTGGGGGCCATGGCCTGCAACCCAGGCATATGCCCTGACTGGGAATCAAACCTGCGACACTTTGGTTCGCAGCCCGCGCTCAATCCACTGAGCTACGCCAGCCAGGGCAGAAGGCTATTTCTTTAAAAATACTTCTCAGTAGTTACATTATGATGTTTTCCCTTTTATCTCATTGGTCAAAGCTTGGTCACATGATCACATATAACTCTAAAGAAGAATAAGTAGGACAATATGCTCAATTAAAAGTTAGGATTGTCATCACTAAAGAAATAGGAGAGAGTGGATTTGGAGGGATAACCAACAATACCTGCCTTCATGTAGTTATTTGGTGGGGTGGGGGTAGGGGGTGGGGAGGGCTTGTTCAGTAGCTCTCAAAAGCCCACAGCTATGGGTGTGGCCCTGGGTGGGGTACAAGTTTTCCCTCCGTACTCATTGAAAGCCCCTTTTCTCCCTCTCACCAGTCCTTTTTCTCATCTCCAACTTCCAATCTGTGCCAGTCCTGTCCAATCTTGAGGGCTCATTTCAAATCTTATCTCTTCCAAGAAGTTATCCTAAATTCCACTCAGAGGGAAATACTCCCCCTTTCCTTCAACTTCCATAACACTGGGTTTCTATTTCCCCTTGTCACACTCCCCCTTGTGTGAGAGCCATTGCTGTGAGAGTGTCTCTTGTCTTCTGGGGTGCAGGCCCTCTGTCTTCCTCACAGCTGAAAGCCCCAAACGTGGCATGAACTCAATGTATGCACGACAGAGCAAGACGCTGCTAGTCTGCCCCCCGCATCCGTAGCCTTCTTTTCCTGTTAGAACTCATCCCCCTCCCTTGCCCTAAGTGTGATATGTGTACATGGTTTTCCAACTAGATATTTTAGTTTCTAGTCTCCCTTGGGGTTATGTGTGGCCATGTGACTAAGTTAGGGCCAATAAAATGTGAATGGGAGTAATACATGCAAATTCTGGGTCATCTCCATAAAAATAAATGCACTTGTCAGGACTTTTCCTCCTGCCTACTTCCTG